TTTACAGTATTTACAGTATTTACAGTATTCACATTATTCCCAGTATTTACAGTAGATTAGATTAGATTAGATTAGATTCATTTTATTGGCCATGTGCAGTAAAACTACATTGGAAATACATGCAAAAAGAGGTACTCTGTGTGCACCGACAGAATAAAAAGCACGATACAATGTAATATAAATACACATACACTGAATATAAAATAATAAATAATAAAAAAAAACAGCTGACACTGTGGCACCGATCGACAAAACAATACAAGGGGTAAAAGCAGTTTAAAAGCAGGTAAAAGCAGGAATTAAAATGCTCTGTTTAGGCACCTAACAGCCTGTGGAAAGAAGCTGTTAGCATAGCGAGATGTCTTGCATCTCAGTGACCGGTATCTTCTGCCAGAGGGAAGAAGCTGGAACATGGCTTTCCCAGGGTGGCCAGAAGAGTCACCGATGATTTTAAGAGCTTTGTTTAAAAGTCTGGATTTGTAAAGAACCTCCAGAACAGGAAGCTCACAGCCCACGGTCCTCTTTGCAGAGCGGAGCACCTTGTTTAAAGCTCTCTTTTCTTTATCTGTGATGTTTCCAAACCACACAGACACAGAACCAACAAATAAACTTTCAATGGTGCAGCCATAAAAGTTCAGCAGAATCTTAGAGTTAGTGGTAAATTCTCTAAGTTTCCGCAGGAAGTAAAGACGCTGACGGGCTTTCTTTACGACCCGGTCAGTGTTTTTAGCCCATTTCAGGTCGTTAGACAGAGTTAAGCCCAGGAACTTGCTCCTCTACGATCTGCACCTGGGAGTTGTCAATAACAACAGGAGTGTGAGAACTGCTATGACTGAAGTCAAAGACAAGTTCACATGTTTTTGCAGTGTTCAGCTGGAGATTGTTTACTTTACTCCACTGAAAAACATGTTCAATCTCTGCTCTATAAGAGGAATCATCATTGTCACTGATGAGACCGATGATGGTGGTGTCATCAGCATATTTGATGATCAGATTTGAGTCAGAGGAGGACACACAATCGTGAGTGTACAAAGTAAAAAGCAGGGGACTCAAAATACATCCCTGAGGAGAACCAGTGCTCACAGAAACAACATCAGAAAAACAGTCATTGATTTTTACTCTCTGAGATCTGTCAGTTAAAAAGCTAAAAATCCATTTACACATGGCAACATTCAGACCAAGGGACATTAGTTTTTCAACCAATATGCTTGGGACAAGACAATTAAAAGCAGAGCTATAATCAATGAACAGCATTCTCGCGACAGATTTACTAGTGTCCAAATGAGTGTAGACAGAGTTCAGAGCAAAGGAGATGCATCCTCCACACTCCTGTTCTGTCTGTAAGCAAACTGGAGCGGGTCAACACTCACAGGGATCTGGCTCTTAATAAACTCCAGCACGAGCCGCTCAAAAGTCTTCATAAGAACAGACGTGAGAGCCACAGGGCGGTAGTCATTGAGACATGTCACTGGAGACTTCTTAGGAACTGGAATAATGGTGGACCTTTTAAAGCTCACCGGCACCGTACAGCTCCTGAGTGACAAGTTAAAAATGTCCGTTAAAACAGGGGCAAGTTGCTCGGAGCACAGTTTCAGGACGCGGGGAGGAATGCAGTCCGGGCCTGCGGCTTTCCGAGCTGTGGTCCTGGACAAGACCCGCCGTACTTCATCCTGAGTCACTATGAAGGCACCCTGACATTCGGGGAAGACAAAAGGCAGGGGATCAGCAGATTCAAAGCGGCAGTAAAAGTCGTTGAGCTCGTTTGGCAGAGTTTGGCCAGCAGCAATTTTCCCTGCACTTGGTTTCCAGGACGTGATAAGACTGATCCCCTTCCACATGCGTCGGGGGTCCTCTTCCCCAAAGAAACCCTCTAACCTGTCCCCATAGGAACGCTTAGCAGCTTTTATAGAGCGTTCCACAGCGTAGCAGGACAGCTTGTAAGCGCCCTCGTCACCGGATTGAAACGCCAGTGTCCGCTCCTTGATTCTAAGTTTGACATCAGTGTTCATCCAAGGTTTTTGGCCGGAGTGTTCTTTGATAATTTTATAGGGGACACAACAATCAATGCAAAATTGTATGTATCCTGTCACAGCCTCACAGAATTCATCAACATTCTCAGAGTTAAAAACAGACCAGTCTGTGGCATCAAAGCAGCCCTGCAGCTTCATGTTAGCCTCCTCAGACCAGCACTGCACAGTGCGGGAAGTAGGTTTGTGCTGTTTGTTCCTCTGTGTATAAGAAGGAAGAAGGAGAACAGCGGAGTGATCAGACTTCCCAAAAGCAGGTCTGAGACTGGACCTGTAAGCCGCCTTCACGTTACTATAGCAGTGATCCAGGATGTGAGCTCCCCTGGTAGGCTGACTCACATGCTGATAAAAGTTCGGTAATACAGACTTTAAGTTACATTTGTTAAAATCACCACCAACTATAATCACAGCATTGGGGTGAGCAGCTTCATGTTTATGCAAAATGTCACTTAAGTCATTCAGTGCAGCTGTAC